TCAGGAATAACTTCATCCTCTCTCATCATTGTAAGGTACGAAATTCCACAGAGTTGATCAGCCATGATTATACCTTTGTTGGACGAACATTCATCAAGATTAAAATACCTAAATCATGTAACTTAGAACTATCGAAACTTTGCGAACCTTGGTAGCCTATTCTCACATCACAATGAAGTAATCGTTTAGCATAAGAAATTTGCAACTTTGTATTGTTTCAAATTTGGTGACCAAGTTTGAGGATGCACTTTTGGTGTTGGTATGGATGGTACATTCATTACCTGCCATTCCATAATTTTGTCAAGAACGCATCTTTTGCTTTCTCCAGAATTTCTTCCAGAAAGTTCATAGAACTTTTACTTCCGAGTTCATTCGCCATACTTATGGTCGAGCTCAATGCGCATAGCCAAAGAGAGCCACAGTATGCACTTCAAAGAGGAAATCGTATAAAAGCAACAGATAAGAGGCTACTTTACTGCACCTTGTTCCTTTCATTGTCCAAGCATCATATGTTTGATCAGGGGTTCCAGAATTTTCAATCATTCCATCATGATCTCTATCCCAGTCGTTTAAAGCGTTACGAATTGTCTTTTTGCTCAATTTGTAGAAATAGTCAAGAACCTTTCTTGCCTTAACAACAGAGACATGGTATTAGTCTGAGAATTGAAAACTTGGCCTAGAAACATAATACATTGTCTCGATCGTAACACTTCTCAACAATAAGCTTGTAGTCCCTCCAGCAAGAAATCACGAATTTTAAGTTTAGGTCGCGCCAGTTTGCTGTATCATGTATATTATACTGGTTAATCTCCGCCCAAGGTTCCTCATCTAAAATAATAATTTGCAAGTCTTCCAAATTTAAAATTCTTTATACGGTCCAGTTAGTACCTAATCTAGTTCTCAATTCTACCGTTCTAAATCTTTAAAATGTGCTTACGTGGTGTTCCCAAATCATGAGGGATACGATCAGCCGCTTTCTTCTTGATTTTCGTCCCGTCCATAAATGCTGTCACTAAGCTCGCATCTTCGCGATTGAACGTATCACCTGGAAAAC